TTAAGGAAGGAATATTGGAAATATATTGGAAGATCCCTTTGAAGCAACACAGCACTGAAAGTGTCCCACAAACCAATGTGCAGCAATAACACCATCTAGGAAAACTTGATAGAATGCTTTGATTTCTTTAAGAGAGTCTAATGCAGGAGTTTAAAACTAGAGCAATTATTCCCTTTGCCTGTGGTATAAAACATGGATTGCACAGGTATTGCTTTTTAACAAGAATTAGGTGTGATGTTCTTTGGTGCTGCTGCTACTCAGACTAGCTCTAAGTAATCTGTCTTTTAAAGCAAAGTAATATGGGGCAGGGAGGAGAGAGAAGAAACAAAGTCCCATAAAGGAACTTTTGCAGTCTTGTCAAATTTACACTAATCCTTTGGCATTAACTCCTTCCTAAATGGTGTATGCATCAGGATTTGCAGCATTAATGATTGCAGATAACTTGTATGTAATAGATATGAGGTAACTTAAATTTCGGTTCAGGAAGCAAGGAATGCAACTGTTATGTGAGAGCTGCTATGCCACACTCACAGTATCTTGCTATCACTGTGACCAACTAATGCCCAAAGAATGGTTTTGTAATAAAATTATAGATGTATCCTAAAACAAAAGACAAACACAAACACAAACAACAGCTTCTGTCTACACTAAAAAGTGTGACTTTTATTCCATCTGAAAATTACTTGAGGGACTGAAACACAACCAGGTCTATATTTTATTTATTTAATTGAAAAAATTTTTTTAACTTAAGAGATATATATAGAGAGGGGGGAGGGGAAGGGGAAGAGAGAGAGAGGAACATCAATTTATTGTTCCACTTATTTATGCATTCATTATTGATTTTGATTTTGAGTTGATTTTAGTGTGATCCTCTGACTGAGGATCAAACCTGCAACCTTGGTGTATGGGGTTGAAACTGAGCTACCCAGCCAGGACTACCAGGTCTATATTTTAGAGATATAATTTTGGTAGCAGCATGAAGGATAGTTTAGAAGAAAGACCAGATGCAGACAGACTCAATTAGGAAGGAAATAGTTGACATAACCCAAGCTGACTTGAGTCTTAAAGGCAAAAAGAATCAGTGGTAATGGAGAAGAGAAACTGACTAGAAATAGTGGCTGACTGAATGTGGAGGGTGAAGGAAAACGAGAAGTCAAAGAAGAGTCCCAGATTTGTAGCTTAAATTGATAAGGTGGATAAGCAATGTACGAGAGTAATATATGAGAGGATGAAAATGGGTGCTATAAATCTGAGGTGTCTGCGGCTATATTTTGGGATAATAAGCTGCAGTATGTAGACCAACTTCTTAAAGGGGATGTGAAAAATAATCCTGTCTAGTGGTGATGTCCACCTGGCATCTGGACAAGAGCCAGGAGAGAAAGAATTGGTATTGTCAACATTCATGATATATCAGAAGATACTGTGATGCATAATGTCACAGAGAAGTATGCAGAGTGAGATAAAGTGCAATGATGTATCTCTAAGAATCCCCAACAGTTAAATGGAAGAGATGGTCATCAGCCTAAATGTAGAAAAGCAGGTAGCAGTAATGACCCGAGATTGGGAGTTAGTGCACATACAGAGATGAAGAGATTAGAGTGTGAGGAAATGAGGTGCTGGCAAATGTTTTGTACAAATTATATACCAAAGGTTCCACATTGGATAGGGAAGGAAATATAGAAAGGATGGATTAGTGTAGGGTTGCCAGATTTATCGGGAAAAAAGGGACATCCAGTTAACTTTGAATTTTGGATAAAGAAAATCTTTTTTTTAAGTATATGTATATCCCAAATATTATATGGATCATACTCATACTAAAATTTTTTTCACTGTTAATTTGAAATTCAAATTTTACTGGGTATCCTGTATCTTAGTTGACAACCATAATTAGAAAGAAAAGAAAGACCAAGAGTCTGGGAGCTATCCTGAGGTCAAAGGGCAAGTTCATGGTGTCAAGGAGTCAGCTGAATATTCAAACACTGTCACTTAGGACTTTAGAGGTAGAAGAATGATGAAAAAGATCAAGAAGGATCCATTAGAGTTTGTGGATGAGACAGAATAGAAATGAGGTCCAAGAAGAAACACTAAGGCAAACATACTGGATGGATCATTAGCATGGACACTGGGGTCAGTTAAAATGATAGTTGGAGGTCCCTGAGTAGTGTGGCTCAGTGAATTGGGCATAGTCTGGAAAACTGAAAGGTCACACGTTTGATTCTGGTCATGGCACATGCCTGGGTTGCAGGCCAGGTCCCCATTTGGAGGTGGGCAAGGGGGCAACCAATCAATATTTCTCTCACATATCCATGTTTCCCTACCTTTCTTTCTCCCTCATTTCACCGTTCCCTAAATATAAATAAAAAATATTTTTTTAAAAAAAGAGTTAACGAAGGACTTCCACTTCCGAGGTTATCTGAAGTAGGGGATTATCCAAGAAGGTACTCTGACTGATCTAAGCTTAAAAATTAAAAAGGTTAGATAAAATGCTAAAAATAGATAGCTAGATATGACCTGTCTGATTTTGAATAGAATGTTTTAGGTAGAATGAAAAAGAGATCTGAGAAAGCTAGAATATAATGAGACAAGAAATAAGGAGAGTCTTTCACGTGAGAGATGGCAGTACTTGGAATAGGGAAGCAACAGTGGACATGGAGAGAAATGGATGGTTTTATTGCTAGCAGAGGGGAAGACAGTATCAACTGGTAACAGTCATGGGAATTCTCTTCTAGTTCAATGTTGTTAGGAATGTTCTAGTTGAAAAAGAATGTCTGAATACATGGGAAAGAAAACAGATAATTGAGTACGGTTTATAACAATAGTACTGCCCTTAGACCTGGGTAAGGATCTTCCTTCTGCTGTAAATGGCAAGGTGTCTTTGAAATCAAGGGGCCATGCCAGCTTGGAGCCTGCACTCCTCTTTTAGACTTCCTAGATCTAAGGGCAGACTGAGTTGCTGATTATACATCACTATTTGCAGGGGGTGAGGGGAGGTGGACATAAGCTTGGATGTGTCGATTGCATGCACACATGATCCCTTTTTGAGTAGTAGGTGAAGAAACTACCTAGTGGTAGGAATGGAAAGAGGATAGGGCCAGTCTGACATCTCTAAAAGTCTGAAAATTTGAAATTTAAACATGGTCTTCTGGATTATTATTTAAGTAGATTTGTCCAAGTAGTACGGAATATATTTTTTAAAAAATGTATTTTAAAAAAGTTTATCATCTTGATTTATAACTTAAATATTTGGATATATGATATGTGAGCCTCCAGTGCCATTCTTGCTCGGGCTCTGCAAATTTAGAACAGTATAGTGCAAGGATAACAAATTCACACAGATGAGAGTTCACTTTAGCTGGACCCTTGTGTAGTCAGATTTTCTAGGCTTCTATGTAGCAGATGAGGGAATAAGTAGCGCAAGTTTCCAGGCACTACATTAATGTATACAAAAAAACAGTTTTCTCTATCTGGAAGGTCAACAATTAGAAGGCTATTTTAATGGTAACGGTAATGGTTTCAGTGTAATTTTGAAATGCTTCTTGAATATAGGAGGCAGAAGTTTAAGGTTTAAAGCATGGAAAAGGCCTTAGTAATCATGCAATCAAATTAACTCAACAAATAAAACATAGGTTCTGACAGATGAAGCACATTGACTTAGGTCACAAAGTCAGTTGCAAATGATTTCCAACTCTATCCTCTCTGCCCACTCTTCCACAAATGCTACTTTTCATGCAGACATCTGCTGCCAGTCAATTCCAACTACAAAGTTTTTACTTGCTTTCACTGCTATGTATTAAAGGAAATAAATACTTTCACTTTAAAATTTGGAAGCACTTAAAAAAACAAAACAAGTCCATAAGCCAGTATTACATTTGACTACAAAATATTCTTTAAAACAACAACAACAATGACAAAACAACAAAAAGGCACGAAGGACAAAAATCCAACTTCATAAAGCCACAATATTGGCAATTCTGGATAGTTACTTTTAACTGTTTTCCAGAAAGTTTACGGGCACTTTAGGTCCGTTTTTAGGACCCAAAATACCTTCTGAATGGTTGTGTGATTTAACTATTTTTATTTTTACAATCTATTCCTCTGACTTTCGATCTCACGTGAGACTTTAAATTAAAATTGTGCTCCTTGTTTTGGTTGCAACCGTATTACTGTAACCTATCTCCCCAAATTCCTTATCTTCTAAATTAGAAATCAAAGTACACGCTTACGAAATATCTAACACTCAAGATACTAACTAAACGCTAAAATACACTTAAAAAATAAACCTTGCTTTTCAAACGTCTATAAATATCGCTTACGGATTTTTCTTAGCGGGTCTGAGTTATAAATTAAAATCTTTAAGGGTCCCATGACAAAAGTTAAAAAAAACATCTCCACGGAGACTCTTACCTTCAAGCTCAGAAGTAATCCAAAAGTTCTAGGTTTGCAGGAAGTTATCTCCCTCAAACTTTAGGAGTTGATGGTTTAAGTAACAATAACAAATCTTGTCAAAACACCAAGTGACTTTAAGCCCCTCCCATCAATGGACTACTGCCAAGAAGGAACTTAATTACCGGAAAAATTTTCTCCTTCGAGATGAGCATCCGCGAAATACGGCTTTCTGGGCTCGAAGAGGCAAGGAGGGACCCAAAGGACTCAAGGGGGAAAAAAAGAGAAAGTGGTATGACAAAGTCCTCGAGGCAGTGACGGGGCGCAACCTGGGTCCGGGCAAATTTTGGGGTCCGGAGTAGGGGCCGCCTCAATTCCCGCTGGCAATACTTGGAAGACCCTCCCCTCGCAGCTCCCTTGGGCCACGACTAGTACCCTGCGGAGCCTTGACCTCCTAACCGGGTCCACTTGGCGACCCCGCCTCTTCGGCTCCTTTGATTGGTTTCTACAGGGATCTTTCAGGATGGCTCGCTCAATGAAGGGCCCGGCCGGCAGCCCGGACGCTCCGCCTCCCCCGCCCCCCGCTTAGGGCCCGCCCCTGCCCTGCTCCCGGGAGCAGAGGAGAGTAAATACAACAGGAGCGCAAAATGGCGGAGCCGCCGAGCCCAGTGCACGGCGCTGCAGCCGCCCCCACCGTCCCAGAGAAAGAACCGTTCGGCAAGCTGCAGATCGCTTCCCGGGACCCACCGGGTCCTCTGTCCGCCAAGAAAGTCCGGACTGAGGAGAAGAAAGCGCCGCGGAGACTGAACGGAGAAGGAAGCAGCGGCGGGAACACCAGGCAGCTGCAGTCGCCGGCGGCACCTTCGCCTCAGAGCTATGGCAGCACCACGTCCTGGAGCTTCGCTGCTCTGTCTCCTGCCCCCTCCCCATCCCCGGCTCGGAGCAGTTTCTCTTTCTCCGCTGGCACGGCCGTCCCGTCCTCAGTCCCATCCTCAGCCTCTGCCTCGTCTCAGCCGGTGCCGCGCAAACTGCTGGTCCCTCCTACGCTGTTGCACGCTCAGCCTCACCCTCTCCTGCCGGCCGCCGCCTCCTCGGCCAACGCCAAGCCGCGCAGACCCAAGGAAAAGCGAGAGAAGGAACGGAGGCGGCACGGCCTTGGCGGGGCGGGCGAGGCCGGCGGGGCCGCCCGGGAGGAGAACGGGGAAGTGAAGCTGCTGCCGCGAGGTAGATCCCCGCGCCAGGAGGGGTGGGGGAACGCCAGCCCCCGCCACCCCGCCGCGCCCGCTGGGTTGGAGCAGGGGGAGCGCGGGGGCTGCGTGCACCATCCTGGAGGGGGCGGGAAACGTCCGGTTTTCTGCAGGCGATATTGCAGCCCTCGTGGGGACAGGAAATGGAGCTTATAATTTCGGTCGCAGTTGAGGGGAATGGCCGAAACTCTTTCTGTATCGTTTCTGCCTCTCGCTTAGTAGAATTCGGTCTAGGAGACCCGTCTACGAGTGTTTGGCTACCGAGGGAGATAGGAGGGAATGGTATCGTGAAGGGTTTTGTCTTGTAAAAGATGGTCGATTGATTATTAGACCGTTTAGTGTTGATCATAGAATTCATATTTGTGACAAGGCTCTAGCGCCAGAAAATTCTGTCAAAAAAAGGGGTGTGGAGAGTATTGGCGTCAGCTGGAAGCTACCAGAGGCCTGAGCTTTTCATCCCTATTAGGGAAATGAGGTAGCGTGCAGGGCCCAAAGAGTGCTGTTTCTTAAGGTACCTCTCCCTCCACACTCTCCTTTCCGCTCCGTAGGCTTAAGTGTTTTGAGTGGTCTTGTTTGAAATACCATCCTTCAAAAAGAATTTTCAGCCATATTTTTTTTCCACCTCTGCAGCAAATGATAAAATCAGGAGCGTTAACGTTTTAGGGCCAGAGCAAGTGGCTGCAAAATATTTTAGTAACAGAAAATGGCAAATTCTTATACGTCCCTTTTAGACACGGCTAGACAGATTTAAAATGTAGGTTAGACATATAATTCTTCAGAAAGCATTTCTTTTAAATAAATGATCTTACCTGTTTAGCTATTGATACACAAAGATCTGACAGTAAGTGGTAGGTACAACATGGAGACTGGTTGAAAATTAGATAGTTATGTGACCAGAAGCTTAAAGTGCATAATGATCTTTAATATTCATTGATACGCAGTATTATCAAGATTTTTTGTTTGTTTTGAAAAGAAAAGTGAAGTATCAAACAGTTTTAGCATTGCTGATCTAATGGTACCTTACATCAGGAAAAATTCTCTGTATATTTGAATTGGAATGGCTATTCACAATTTTTAAAAATACTGTAAACGAATATATAGCAACAGTTAATTATTTCTTGATGTTTTCCATGTAATAAAGCTTTGACATCTAAGCATAGGCATCAGGTGCTCTGGCACAAGGTAAAGATCTAAGCTTTGGAGAGGGTTGCTTCTAGGAAAGTGGTTTTTCTAGTAGTTTTAGTCTGGAATTTTAGGTGGTTAGTATTCTGAAGCTATTTTGTCTTAATGATTACATTTAAAAGTTTTAAGTGCCTGGAAGTCTTGCATTATGATGTGTAAACAATGCATTTGCTTTTCTGTGTTCTTTGAGGAAGTGAATGTGGCTGTAACATTGTCAGTGGATTGGAATGGCTGGAAGTAAATAAATAAGCATTCTTTAACAGTTCTGACTTAAAATATGGAGCACATAAGTGTCCCTTAAAGTGAAATGGCTGTTAAAAGGAAAATTTTTCTAGCCTTTTAAGTTATATTTAGGATCCTCCTTTTGAAAGCTACAGCTTACCTTACTAAGCCTGAACGTAAGCAGTGATAGCTTTTCATTAAGATGTGGGGAAGCCCTGACCAGTGTGGCTCGGTTGGCTGGGTGTCCTGTAAAGGGAAAGGTCGCTGGTTCTATTCACGTTAGGGCACATGCCTGGGTTACAGGTTCAGTCCCACGAGCGGCAACCCTATCGATGTTTCTTACCCTCTCTTCCTCCCTCCCTCCCCCCGTTCTCTAAAAACAAATATGTAAAATGTTTTTAAAAAAGCATGTGGGGAAGATGTTTTTATGTGACCTATTTAGGTTTCTTTGATTAGTGACTAGATTATTAACACTTGTAAGATTTTCATTTTTTTTGACAAATGCTGTTTTTATTGAGAAAAAATTAAAAACCAAAAGGGGTTTGCTTTTTGTGTCTTGATGGTAAATTTAATGGCGAAAATGTTAATTTGGGAGGTGCTTATATCCTAAAACTCAGATAAAACTGAATTAAGGTTCTGTTTTACTCAATTAAGAAGATTCGTAAACAACGGTGGTATTAAAATAGCAAGATTACATAATGCATTCAATATAGTTATGATTGCACATAGAAAAGTTCTAATTTGTAATATAGTTCTTATTTCTCTGGGCTTTTTGTAAAAATCTTAGTGAATGGATAACGAGGTATCCTTTTTTTTAGGTATGTATACCTCTTTTTAGTATTGGATAGTTTCATAGGACAGTTCAATGCACTCCTGCAATTATCCCATATCTCACTGATTGAGGAATCTGAATCACAACTAGAAATTAGCTATTAAGACAACTAAGCAAGGTAACAGATCCTTCAAAAAATAAAAAAATGAAAAGTCTTTCAACTTCATTAAGCAATTAAATTCCTTTATTTATTTGTAGTAGGGTTTGTTTTTTGTTTTTGTTTTTTTAAGTCTTTAGTAAGGACTGCTAATTGTGTTAAATGAAAATGTGTATGAAAGGGCTTGGCAGGGCATTTAGTAAATTTTATTTGAGTCAAGAATGATAATTTGTTTTTGTTAACTTCATAACAAATTAAAAGGTGGGTCAGTTTAGATACAGAAAGGATCCTTGACAGTAGATATGTAAGTTAAAAGTGATGAACAAGAGAATTGTAAAAGCATATCAACCTAGGTCAACCTAATATACAGGTTGATGTCTTACACACCTAAAGCCTGTGTCAGTGCTGCAGTTGTCTGGCATGATAGCCAGAGTTATCAAATAAAAGTTATAGAAAAATAAAGGGCAAGACACTTTAGATTTCCAAAACTAGAAAATAACTAGGCTTTGGTTCTTACAGAGGTAATTTGCTGAAGAGTTCATAGCTTATTTTCCTGTAAGATGGAATAACAATGAATCAGTAGATGTGGAAGTTAAAGTAGAACACGTACGGAAGGTATGCAACATTTAGAGTTATAACAAACAACAGAACGAACACATTATTAGGTAACAAAATGTCTTAACTGATTCAGGTAACCAAGAAAACATATATATCTCCTAAATTTTTTTAGTGTTTGCTTTGCATTTATTAACTTTATTTATTAATTTTAGAATGACCCTGTGAAGTATCCCAAGACAGAACCAGAGCGTTTTACGGAATTTTTGACTTGAAAGTAGTTATAGAATTTAACTGTAATGAAAATAGAGGCCTTTCTTAGAATTGAATAATTTGAGGTAGAAATATCAGTGATTTTAAAGGGGTAGCCCTGGTTGCTGTGGCTCAGTTGGTTGGGCATCGTCCTGCAATACGAAAGGTCACCAGTTTGATTCCCAGTTAGGGCACATGCCTAGGCTGCAGGCTCAATCTTGCTTTGTGGCACATATAGAAGCAGCTAACTGTTGTTTCTCACATCAGTGTTTCTCTCTCTCTCACTCTCTCTGTCTTTCTCTTTCTCCCTTTCTCTCTCTCTCAATGAGAATAAAATAAACTAAAAAAAAAAACAAGAAAAAAAAAACTATGGGACTTGTTAATGTTAAGGTATAAATAAGCGATAAAACAAAAATCAATAGCATTCATTCCTTTACACTAGCAATATGCAAGTAGAAAATATATAATAGAAAAATAAAGGTATTTTTAAAAAATAAAAAAAATAAAGGGGTAGATGTTCAAAAGTTTTTCAAACTAGACTTTTCCCCATCTTTCTAATATTGTTCCACAATTTTAGATTAAATTCATATTCAGAGTTTTCATCATTATGACCAAGTGTTTGTCACTGCTGAGATAGTTTACTGTGATTTCATTTTCTTGTGTAACCTTTTGTTTTTCATGCCTTGTATTTTCATTTGGTTAGTTTTATCTGGCAAAGTCTTTCTATATTCTCCAGCAGCTTCATAAAATGCATCTCAGTACAATTTTCCACATGGTCAGATCTGTCAGATATTATTAGTAGTTCCATTTGTTCCTGTAGCCATCCATCCTTTCTGTAGCTGTCCTTCCTGCTTTGGTCTAGATTGTTTCCTTTTAGGCCTGCTGCAAGGCTGTCATTTTGGGACTTCCCATAGCTGACATTCTGGGAATTTCTGTAGTATTAGTTCAGTCCTTTTTTTCTGGATCCTATGTCTTCCTTTTGGTTTATTCCTTTGTTTTGTTTTCTCTACTATTACTCTGAAAGACTGCATGGGAATATATTTTTGGGATTTTATTTTTACCCTCACACTTTACTGTTTGACTGTTGAGCGATTTCTATAGTGGACATATTTTCCCTCAGAAGCTTGGAGGTCTTCCGTTACTGCCTGGCTGCAATGTTGGTATTTCAAAATTTGATCTTCAAATAGTCTTTGTTCAACTGTCTGGGAGATTTGAGCACTTTCACTGAATTTTAACATTTCAGGTATCTTAAAAAATGTTTTATGACTTCTTCTTGTTCATTGTTACTGTATTATAGCATCTTGTTCCTTTTTCATGGGGCACATTTATTATCTCTTCAAGGATATTAATCATGCTTGCTTTGACATGTTCTGTTTTTGCATTGTTTTTGGTTTCTCTGACTTTTCTGTTTGTTTGGTCTCTTGTTGTTGGAGGCTTTCTGCATGTCTGTGTAATCCTTAGCAGTTCCTTTATAATCAAGAGAAGGTTTCAAACGTAATAGGAAGCTCACTGGACATGTATTGAGCATGGCTTAATGATTAATGAACTCTGATGTTTTTACCTTTACTTCTTGTCTCTGGTGGTGAATAAGAAGACTTTTAATTTCTTCAGATAAGAGTCCTTCATTTTTCTGTCTGTGTGTGAGTGTAATAATGAGGAGAGAAGGGCATTGGCAAAGGTTATGAGTTTGGATGGCAGGGTACTTACCGGTCCTTGGTTGGGGAAGAAGGCTACAAGTTTCACCATTGGGTTTATAAATTTTCACTTAGTCTCCCTGTTTTCATACCATTTAACTTCTGTGTGGGATGCCTGCAAATCTGGAGCCACTCTGATTAGG